CTCACTCAAAAGATTTATAAGAACATTCTCAAATCATTTAGTAAATCAGCCTCATTGTTAGAAGATTTTACATTTTTTAGTAAATCATCCTCATTAGCGCAAAAAATTCAGAGCCCTTTTTTCACTTAGCCCCCAGGTTTGGTCCATGGTGAGGGTTGTGGCATATTCAAACAGTCGATAATTATATCTGTTAGGGTGAGGAGAAAAATCAAGTGAAAATTGGAAGAACATTTAGCAGTACATTTACCCCCCCTCTCCCCCTTTCTTTCAGGAAACCTCCAAACCTAAACTAAGTGATTGCAGCACATTGAAATGTTTTTTTTTTCACTTTTGTATTCCAATTTGAGAAAACTCCACTATATGTTTGTTGCGTGTTCCTATTCACACAGCATATCTGTGTGTGTTACCTTTTAGATGTTTCTGAGGTGAAGATGCCATGGCTGACTCCAATGCATTTCTCAGCTAAGTCTGGTGATCTGTTCCAAAAACTTGACTGGAGACTGCTGAAGTGCAGTTCTCATTGAAGTATAATTGGGAAGCTCAGTTTTAAATCTATAAAGGATAAGTTCACCTTTGGGAACATGGTACGTGTTCCACCCATTTTTATGGTGGAACATGTAACATGTTCCCATAGCTGCAGTCGCAGCCACCCACCGCCAAGGGCAGACTGACCATTTGGAAACTCGAGGGCCCGGGGTCAGTAGGGGGCCCCATGAGATGCCCCTGGTACCTTTTTCATAGGCTTCTTTGAGTTTGGACAAGGACACAGGGGCCCCATGATTCCCTATTGCCGGGGGCCCCATCAGTTGTCAGTCCGCCCCTGGCGACCGCCCGCCGCCCCCCTTCCCTGCGACAGATAGTACAGAGAGAATTCTTCCCATATTATCTGTCATATTTGAAAACAAAGCGGTCGTGCAGGGCTCTGCCCACACGACCGTGTCACTCATTCACGGACTTTCGTGAATTAATGAACTGCAAGTCCCGGCAGCCTTAGCGGCTGTCAGCTTGTAGTTTTCAATGAACTACCACAATGCTGTGGAGCACCATGGTAGTTCATTGAAGCTTCCTGTCAGAATATCTGCTTGCTTGTACATCCCGTACGGTAAGCAGATATTCTGACAGGTCTGCTGGATCTACTGATTGCTGGTGCAATGCTTTCCAGGCTCCTGTAGACAAAAATAATAAATGCACATTTTTTTTTACCTGTAAAAACATGACCATTTGTTATTTTTGCCTAAAAGGTGAACTTATCCTTTAACCTTTTGTTACAAGGGAAATATGGGGTTCTTAAAAAAAAATAATAATAAAAATTAAAAAAGGAAGGCAAGAGGCAACTTCTAAGTGCAGCAGGCTTCTTGCCTTCCATTTTTCTGTTAAAGTTCGCTTCTACTCTCAGAATTGCTGTGTCAGTGCTCTCCCCAGTACCCTATGAACACTCCTATTTCACCAAGGTGGATGCAGCATTTGTCCCCCTCCCCCACTTCTAAGACTGAGAACTGAGTGATCAAGGAATGATGATCACTCAGTTCTCAGCCTTCAATAAGCATGCTTGCTTTCTTATGTAACTGTTAGTCACTGACTCTCTGCTCTGCCCCTCCAGCTCTCATTGTAGCTCTGGGCTATTGAGGGGACAGCAGAGGCTGGCTCAGGCTCTCATTGGCTCACTGAGTGGCTGAGACAGCTGTCAATCCAGGCATCTGGGTGAATTCTGACTTTAAAATCAGGATCTTTCCAGAGCCTGGACAAGCTAAGTGATGTTAGCCAACAGTGGGCTGTAGCTAGCTGTTGGCTAAAAAATGGTCACAGGAGTGTAGAATGAACTGCACTTCTGTGATCCATAGAAGTAAGGTAAGCTGCAATTATTTATTTATTTATTTATTTATATTTAAATTTTGCTAATTGAATGGGGACATGTAACAAATACAGTATATTATCCGAATTTATCTGCAAAATTGGAAATACAGTTTAAAATATTTATTTAAAAACGGCACATTATATTTATATAGGAAATGTTTATACTTGCTTCCCTATAGCTTTATTTACTTTGTAATGATTCTTTTTGGGTAATCCGGAGCTGAGAGACTCAGAGCTGCAAGGTTCTCTGAGCTGTGACAGTGGCTCCTCTGACCTCATGATAATAACAATTTCTGTATCACAGCTACTGAGTTTGCATAACCCTGTAACACAAAAAAGAACCATAGTTGTTTACTGTCCGCTTACCTATGGGTCTTTGATATTTGATTGAATGATTATAAAAAAAAAACTATTAAGTTAGTAAATGCTAAAAAAAGTTAATGGAGAAACAATCTGAGATTTAACACGTCCCCATTTTCCATTGTGTTGCCTTTTGCAACTTTTTTTTTATGCAAGCTCTTGAAAATTGACATTTAAAAGACAATGACATTTTAACAGCACAGTTTTGCTAAAAAATTAATTTCCAAAAGACAATTTTGTTCCGGCTACCAGTTGAGCATGAACATGGTGCTTGATTGACCTGTACAGAGAGAACAGGTTTTATTATACTTTCTGGATGCACCACGAACAGGGCAGTAAATGTCACAGCTATTCACTTTAGCAGTGGGATTCTATTATCAAACTGCATGATTATTGCTCAATCAAGTATGGCAATAAAGGCTAAATGAAACATTTGATGGTGATGCAATGTTTCAAAGTGAAGTTGTAAACATATTAAGCTATACCACAAGCAGGGCTGTCTTTAATATTGATGGGACCCTGGGCAAACATTTTCTTGGGCCCCCCATTACATTTTTCTCTCCATCTGCTCTTAGACATACAATAAATAGCAGCTCAGCTCAAAATCCATGTACTCCAGCAGATCAGGCAGCAATTGCAATTTATTGCCAGAGGTTACAGCATATCATTAACGCTCACTGACTGGTTAATAGAGGTTACAGCACCCATTGCGGCTCACTGATTCATTACTAGAGGTTACAGCACATGATTTCTGCTTGCTGATTGGTTTCTAGAGGTTATTGCACAGCCTTACTACTCACTGATTGGTTGCTAGAGGTTTCTGCACATCCTTACCGCTCACTGATTGGTTGCTAGAGGTTACTGCACATTATTGCTGGTCTCTAGTTGGTTGCTAAAGCTTAATGAACATTATTACCACTCACTGATTGGTTGCTAGAGGTTACTGTACATCCTTACCACTCACTGAATGGTTACTAGAGGTTACAGCACTTAACTACGTCTCACTGATTGGTTGCTGAAGGTTACAGCACATCATCTCCTCACACCCTGCACACCATGGACTGAGAAGGTTAGCGGACCCACCAATAGACAGAAAACTGCTAGAACTCCTGGGATCATGGTCAGTGTTTGGGGAGGAGCGTGTGATCAGTGGCAGTGCTGGAGGGGGGGAGTTTATGGAGTCAGTGGAAGTGGTGGGGTAGATAGGATAGGTGGCAGTGCTGGGGAAATGGGATGAGTGACAGAGCTGTTGAGGGTTTGGGATCAGTGGCAGTGCTTGGGGATATGGGATCAATGGCAGTGCTTGGGGTGGATGGGATCAGTGGCAGTGCTGGATGGGGATGGGAGGTGACACTTCTACACCGACCACCAATGTTAGGGGGAATTAAAACTGATGGCCAATGTAATGGGGAATTTGCACTGACCACCAATGTAATGAGGAATTTAAACTGACATCCAATGTAATGGGGGATTTTACACCAACAACCAATACCTTTCTACACTGACCACCAATGTAAGGGGGAATTTATACTGACCACCAGCAGAGGTGTTGGTGGCTGGAACCTTGGGGGGCAAAATATACATATGAATGTCACTGTTATTTACATATGAATGCCACATTTCAGCCACTATGTATATATGAGTGCTCTCATTATTTACATGTGAATACTGACACAGTCTGCACATGTGAGTCATCTGTATATGGCAATAGGACAAAGCTGGGCAGCATAAGTGGTAGCACTTCACACTGAGATATTGGACACAACCTGGGACAAAGATTTCCAGGGACAAGGGAATGTAAACCAGTACAGTTGGCAAGGGACAGCTGCATTGGGCCCCACAACAAGAACTGGACCTAGGGTAGCTGCCCCATTTGCCCCTCCTTAAAGATGGCCCTGACCACAAGCATTTCAAGGGTTACAAATGTGCATTTTAAATGCATGTATATAACTTGCAGTGCTTAGATCCTGGGCATAAGATGAATGACATTGGTTAATTATCCCCATGTTTTCCAGCCAAAAACTAAAAATATATATATTTTTTTTAAACTCAGCTGACTCCAACCAAATTTGTTCTGTTCTGTTTTTACTTGCACAGGTGAGTGTCTTAAATCAACTGTGAAATACTTGGTGCATCTGAGTATTGAAAACATATAACCGCCTGCAGTGATGTAGTGTTTGGGTCTGAGTGGCCAATCACCAGAACTGAACACTGTTGCATGATGGAATGGTTGGCAAATTCAACCGTGTAACACCATCAGAAATGGAGCTTTCTCAGAGTTCAACTTGAAAAGGGATGGAGCAGCAAAGGATCATGGGGAAGGCCAGTACAACTGTGTGACAGTGACAAAATCCCTTTGAAGTCTAACAGAAAATTTTTTTTGTTTTGCATAAAATGGGGAAGCTGTAAAATTTGTGTTGGATTACAACAAAATGGAGCCCTTCTGCACACTGCTCATCACACTACCATTCACAACTGTGTTAAAGTGGCTTCAGCCTGGTCTCCACCCATTGGAGAACCCCACTCTAATGAATTTCACCTGATTTGGGGCTGTAGTAAATTCTATTATTTAAGTTGTACCTACAGGTAAGCTTACAAAACTGTTTACTTGTAGGTACAATTAATATCTCCTATACGTGTACCGTTTAGGAGATATTCCCATCGTCAATAGCCGAGGACGCCACCCATGCAAGTGCAGTGACCAGGGGCGGACTGACCATTTGGAAACTCGGGCACTGCCCGAGGGCCCGGGGTCAGTAGGGGGCCCCATGAGATGCCCCCCCCATGAGATGCACCAGCTAAATCTGGTGATCTGTTCCAAAAACTTGGCTGGAGACTGCTGAAGTATAATTGGGAAGCTCAGTTTTAAATCTATAAAGGATAAGTTCACCTTTGGGAACATGGTACATGTTCCACCCATTTTTATGGTGGAACATGTACCATGTTCCCATAGCTGCAGCCGCAACCACCACCAAGGGCGGACTGACCATTTGGAAACTCGGGCACTGCCCGAGGGCCCGGGGTCAGTAGGGGGCCCCATGAGATGCCCCTGGTACCTTTTTCATAGGCTTTTTTGAGTTTGGGCAAGGACACAGGGGCCCCATGATCCCCTATTGCCCGGGGACCCCTTGAGTTGTCAGTCCACCCCTGGCAGTGACACTCTTCATTCAGGGCATACAGCATGCCGTAGAATGCAGAGCTCCATGCTGTGGCCAGTGGTCCTGCCTGCTTGCACAGGAGTGATATCACTGCGGCCCCAGCCATTCAAAGAGCTGGAGCCCATGAACCCAAAAGGAAGATTGAGTGAAGATGGAAGTGCAGGGGAGCCGTGACAGCGCTGCGTTGGAGGGCTCTGTGTACAGGTGAGTCTGTCAAAATATGCTAGTAATGTCATAATGTACTAGTAATATGCTAGTATGCGGTGCATATTAGTACATTATGACTTAAACCTGCAGGGGGCCCCATTTTTTTAAATTCTTGTGGCGGTTTACTACAGCTTCAATAGACTGTACAATTAGGCCCCAAACTGGGTGAAGCTCATTAGAGGTGGTTTTACCATGGATGGAGACCAAGCTGAAGCCACTTTAACACAGTTGTGTTATATATATAATACATACTAATAGATAGATAGATAGATAGATAGATAGATAGATAGATAGATAGATAGATAGATAGTGAGCCTAGATAGTGTGTGGGAGGACAACATTTTGTTATAGTCTTATGATTAAAATTGACAAGCCTGCACGCAGCATAACTAGCACATGGAAGCAGTATGAGGTGGCTGAGGTAATATACCAGGGCATCTTGAGTGGTACTGTTTACAATTTGGGGTTTTGATTGCCATCCAGGCCCCGTTTGCAGAGATTTGTCTTAACTTTTTTGTTCCTGTAACATCAGGATAAGAAATGGGGGTAGTGGTTGTCACTGACAGAATGGCATGGACAGCAATACCACTGTCAAAATCGGAGAGCTTTCCCATGTCCTGATAGTGAGTGAGATTAAATCTCAAGAGCACAGATAACATTAAAACCTGGCAGGGGCTCTAACTCTTTCCCCGCTGTAATCAAAATCAAATATTAAAAAAACTTTGTCTGTCATGAAAGAAGTATGGGTGATGCCATTGTAAGCCTTCTTCTGAAAATGGAACATGCCTAATGTCTGTATTATTCCAGGTCAGCAACGCAGACAACAATTCAAAGTGTGAGTTGACAGGCAGGCAACTAGCATTCTCAAAAGGAGAGATCAATAATGACAGTATCTATTCATCTATAAATACACAGTCCCTCTATAAATAAAAATGATCTAAGAGCACTTAGAGCAGTACAGTAGCAGAGTTTCTTCTATGCTTCTACACTCTAACTCAAGGGGTCTCCAAACTGTGGCCTGGGGGCCGCATGCAACCCTTTGCATACCATTATCTGACCCTTGAGGCAGTATTCCTCTCAATTATACAATAAACTATTCCTCCAACTGACACCACCAACAGGGCAAAAATTCCTGCACTGACACCAACAGTAGGCCACTATTCTTTCCTCTGACACCAACGATGGGGCACTATTCCTCCCACTAATACCAATAATAGAGCACTATTCCTCCTACTAATACCAATGATGGGAAACTTAAATTAACCTCCCTAGCGGTCTGATTATGTCCAGATTTCTGTGCTCAAAGCAGTAAATTTTTTTGCATGGAAATATGTATTTTTTTTTATTGTAGGCCTGTAATTTTTAGGAATAACTCACTGAAATCTGTCCGAACAAGAGTCTAGTAAACATTCCTGGTATGTTACAATTTGAAACACGAAATCATAAATTATAATTTAATAAATAATCATAAAAAATAATAATATAATAATAATAAATTGAATTCAATAATATAATCAAACCAAAAACACTGAAATTTGAAACAGAGCGCCAAGTTCGCACATCACTGAGCTTAGTCGCAAAATCGTTTTCAGTGTCTGATGATGAATTTCCCCACTAATCATTATCACTCAATTCTGCAAGTGGTTCTGATTTACTATCGCTGTTCTCTAGCTGGTCTAAAACCGCTTTTGACCTAAAGGGACGCTTTTTGGATGCATGGACGTTTCTCAGTTTCCAGGCAGAAAGAACAGTAAAAATGCAGGCAGGGCGCAGGACAAAGCACTAGGGACAAAATGTATGTGAAATGGTTTGATACCATTTTATGTGTTCTGAACAATAAGGGAAGGTGGGAAATTGTAGTGGCTGAAGTTAGGAAGGGACTTTTTAGAAATCAGCATCAGTTAGAGCAGGGGTCTCCAAACTTTCTAAACAAAGAGCCAGTTTACTGTGATTCAAACTTTAGAGGGGGCTGGACCATGGCCAGAGAAAGTAAAAAATGTCCTGGCATTAGTTTCCCATCATTAATAAATATTCGGCTCCTGTGCACTGAGATTTATTTTTATACGGAGTGGTCCATTTACTTTACCTCTAATGATTGCATGCTGCGAACAATGAGAAAACTATTTCTTATATCAAAGAGTAGGGATGCATAGAGTTAATTTCCAAAGGCTAGGTTCATACTTGCTCATTCTCTGAAAAGCAAATCAGTAGTGGATCACTTTTTGGAGTGCAGTTTAGCAGCCGCTGTCAGGCATTCAGTAGGTTATTTTGCCACCTCCTGTTTTTTAATGTTTTGTTTTTACCAATCAGGATCAGGAAATGAGACTGATACACTGTAACTGTAAGCCAAGCATTTGACTCATTTATTTCACTCTGGCAACACATGATGCCTGTCATGATCGAAATATGATTGGAGAAATTGGTCCTCTTGTACCAAATTGTATTGTAACTGTAATGTCTACCTTCATTTTGTAAAACGCTGTGCAAACTGTTGGCACTATATAAATCCTGTACAATAATAATAAATAATAATAAAAGTTCTAGTATAAACATACACTACTGGAAGCAGTGAAACCAGGAGAAAAGCTATGAAAGGAAGAAAATAGACTATCGGGAATAACACATTCATAGAAAAAATATATGATAAAACAAGTCAGTGATTCTGATAGTTTAGGCCAGCAGAGATCACCTTGCTGGGCAGTCAATCAGTTAAATTGACCTGAGGAGAACAAAACCCCACCTATCTTTGTTATGCAGTGGAGTGGCAGGTTTTAGTAGTCCTGTTCTGTTTCTGTCGTCTTGATGCAGTACAGCAGTGTTTCTCTCCAGTCCTCATGGACCCCCAACAGGTCATGTTTTCAGGATTTCCATTATTTTGCACAGGTGATTTTTTTTTTTTTTTTTTTTTTTAATTTAAATATTTATTAGATTTTTCATATTAATACAAAAACTCAAACAGGGAAGTAATTCTCATACAAGTATACATTTATAACATTTCTGTCTTTCCCTTACTTAAAAAACTCTTTTTCTTTCCCATCCCACTACCCCTCCCTCCCACCCCTCTTCCCCCCTCTGCAGACTCTATCCCATTCTATTCTCTTGAGGCTTTTTAATGTTATATTAACATCCTAGTTTATGTTTTTCTTATATTTCTCTTTCAATCCTGCTCTTTCCCACTTTTCCCATCTCCTTAGATACACTCCCATTCTGTCTTCCTGCATATGATATGATCTTTCCATTCTACCTATCTGGTTTACTCTGTTAATCCAGTCCACCTCCTTCGGTACCTCGACTTTCCGCCAAAACTTGGGTATCAACCCTTTCGCTGCATTCAAGAAGTACCAAATACCTGAATCTTTATATTTATTTACAGATGTCTCCACAACGTGTAGGAGACACGTCGTTGGATCTAATCCTATGTCAATTTCCGTTATTTCTTTAATCAACTTGACTATTGTCTTCCAAAAAAGCCTGGATTTTCGGACATTCCCACCATATGTGAAAACACCGTGCCTATATCTCCACATCCTCTCCAACACATATTTGAACTTTCCCCATTCATCTTGTGTTCAACACTTGGTGTGATGTGCCATCGTGTCACAAACTTATAATTAACCTCCACCTCTCTCATACTAACATTATCGTGTATCAATCTAAACATCTTTCTCTGTCTATCCTCATCAAACTCAACTCCCATATCTCTTTCCCCATTTTGTCATAAAATTTAACTTTGTGTTTGTGTCTAATTCTGTGAGAATTCTATACACTTTTGAAACACCGTGCTTACCATCCCTTCGTGTCTCCAGCAACCTTTCAAACATATTCCACTCCTGTTTTATTCTCAAAGGTTTCGGTAGTTTTCCAATAAAACTTTTCAATTGATGGTATTTCCACTCATCCATTCTAAAAAAAAATGTCTCCCTTCTTCTCTATTAACTCTTTAAGTGATCTCAATTCCCCCTCCACCAATACATCTCTCAATTGGGTGTCTTCCTTTCTGAACCATCTCCCCGAAATCTTGTTCTTTCCCGGAGGAAAGTACTCAGAATTCGTGAGAGGCATTAATGTTGAATTAAATTCCCATTTCATATTTTTATGTAAATTGTCCCATACCCTAAAGACATTTAAAGTGTAAATACTTGTGCTTTCTTTGATTCCCCTAAACTGTGTGGGACCCATATCATCTGACTCAATCCAATTCCACTAAGCTCAATCTCTATTGTTACCCAACTTTTCCCTTATGGTTAAATGTCCAGTCATATATTCTTGCCAAAACCACTGCTTTATAATATCTCTTGACATCTGGTAAACCCAATCCCCCTTTCTCTTTAGTCCTACTCAATGTTTCATATGCTATTCTAGGTTTTTTATTCTTCCATATGTATCTTGTTAACATTTTTTTCATTATCTTAAAGAAGGCTTCTGGAATTTTAATTGGTACCATTTGAAATCTATACAGTATTTTAGGCATAATTACCATTTTGACTAAGTTTATACGTCCTATCCAGGATGGATTTCCTCCTTCTAGTCTTTTTAAATCTTCCCTGATCTCATTAATCAAAGAGATATAATTTAC